AGATATAAAAAGAACTAACGATTTTAATTTCAATATTTTTCTAAAAAAAAAATGATATTCACATTGTCAAATTTGAAATTTTAAATATATAGAAACAAAGATTGAGTTTAAAATTTGAAAATGAAAAAAAAAAAGACATAGCAAAGTTTTGAATTTTAAATTTAAAATCTAAAAATATTATAAAAAGTTAATGTTTTTTAATACTTTTTTAAAATTTAATATAACATTTCAAACCTATCAAAAGAGTTCATAATATTTAAGATAGAAACCAAAATCTAGAAAATGATGAACTCAAAAAGTTAATGAAAATGTGTAAATAATGACAAATAATAATAATAATAATAATAATAATTAAAATATGATATAAAATAATAAATAAATAGTTAATAATGAATCAATAATAAACTAAATGATAAAATATTGAAAACAATTATTCATTAAAATTTGTAAAACGTTAAATTTAAATAATAATCGAAAGAATTTTACAATACGGAAGAATTTAAGAGATTTGTCTGTTCTTAAAAATATGATAATATATTATAATAAATAATAATAGTTAATATATTATAATAATAATAGTTAACATAATATCACTAATACAGTAATAATAATATTTAAAGTATTATATAAAATAATAAATAAATAATTAAATATTGACATCGTTAATAAACTAAAAGTAAAGTAAATAGTTAAATATTTAACTTAATACTTCATTTAATATAGTTATGTAAAATTTAAATAATATTTTAAAAATCAATTTCTATATAAGTGTATTATTAAAAAATAAAAATTATCAATTGTTTATATTTAAAAAATATAAAAATAAGTAACGATTTCAAGATCAAGTTTATAAAAGAAAAGATTTGCAGAGTCAGCAAACTGAGGTTTAGTTAGAACATCTGTGATTTGATGCAAAAGTTGAATAAAGTTTTTGTAAACATTATCAGAACAAAATGGATGTCAAGCTCAGAGTGTTTAGATCTAAAATGAAGAATAGGATTTGCAGCCAAATAGATGAGGATGTGAACTTGGTAAAAAGAGAATCATCGCTTCTGATAGCAGAGAAACCAAGAAGAATAAGAGTTTGACTTAGCTTGCAAACCTATTGAGGATTTGAAGAGATAAAACCTGGAGCTTCTTCTATATACACGGTTTCTTGCATGAGTGATGTCTATTTGTCTTATGGACCACCTGCAAGAAATAACACGAGTGAGTATTATTGAATAACAGGTTTTTTATAACAGGGCTAAAGGTTTTATCGTAGTCTAGATTAGGAGTTTGATGAAACCCTTTAGAAGGAAAATGCTGGAAAGTTCCATTAGCATTTTATTTGTTTCTATAAACCCACTTGCAACCAATAACATTGGCATCTTTGATGTTAGTGATGACATTATAGACATAACTATCAATTTGATCCATGATATATGAGTTAATTTTAATCTTCTCTTTAAATAATTTTCTTTTTAAGGAGAAACTAAACGAGGGAGTAAAAAAAAAAGTCCTAATTCTCAAAGTCTCTTTCAAGTAGGTTAGATCAATGTCAAGCTCTAATACAAAAACTTTTAAAAACAATATTTTTAATCTAAGTCAAAGATGGTGTAAGTTGTCTCGCACCGAAAGGACAAACAAGCCAACTCAAACAGAATGTCGAGTCGGTACATTTTAGGCTTAAATTTGATATGAGTCATTTTGAGCCAAAAGTCAATACAACCTGGTTTGGACTACGAGTCGAGATGATCGCGCTAAGTCGAAGATCAAAACGGACGGACCCTAATCAGGGATCAAAATGTCAATACAAGCTAGGTTGAGCCGAAAGTTAAGACAAACAAGCACCAGGAGAAGGTCGAGACTAGCCAGTCTTGACAGTTGAGATTGACCCAAGAGAAAAGTTGAAACTAGTCAGATTAGATCAAGGTTGAGATAAGTTGACTTGGGTTGAAGGTTGAAACAAACTAGTTCGAGTCAAAGGTCGAGACAAGTGGGCCCAGTTCAAAGGTCGAGACAGGTGGGTCCAGTTCAAAATTTGAAGCACGCGTGCCGAGTCAAAGGCCAACTTGGGTAGGCCCAACCCAAGATGAGCCGGCTTAGACCACTAGTGCAGAAAGGGCTTTAGAAGTCCGTTTTTTTGGCCTTTTGACGTCCGGCCTTCCCCCGACGTCTTTGTGGGTGACGTTGCTCAGACGTCGGGGGCCCATATCGGACGTGCACATAGACGTCCGATTCGTCACGCCCGACGCCTATCCAGACGTCCGGTGTACACCCTCGGACGTCCACGTAGACGTCCCACTTGCCCGTCAGACGTCCCGCGACGACCACCTGCCTGAATTGTTTTGTGGTAGGGCTGGGGTTGGACGTTCGTTTGTGCACTGCCAGACGTTCGTTTGTGCACTCAGCATTTTAGCACATAGGGCTTCGGCCGGCGCTACTATAGCGCTTCGCTAACTCGAAGCCTCTCGGTAAATCTAGCTTCGATAACGCTCGGCTAAGTCTTGAACCGTCGCGCGTTCGCTTTCTCAGTAGCAATCTCGGTAAATCTTGCTCCCACTTCCTCGCATCTGCGCTCGTCAAGCCAACTTTGCTTTTTGGGAGGTGAAACTGCGGTTGAATCGGACATTTCGAAATGACAGCATCGAAGATCCCCCCGGCTTGCAGAAATGAATGGATCAAAAGGGGGGGCTGGGTTCTATTTCCGGGCCGGGCGGGAGGTGAAGGCCATAAGATTGCCCTCCCGGTAAGAAAGAGAGGCCATAAGATTGCCCCCTGCTTGCAGAAATGAATGGATCAGAAGGGGGGGCTGGGTTCTAAATAAGTGAAACTCTCGACATCCGTTGTGGAGGGGGCCGGACGTTTATAATATTATAGGCGTCTGTCCCCCTCCACAACGGACGTTTAAGGGGTTGAGAGACAATTAACTCTTCAAATACTTGTCAGCACTCGAAACGTCCATTGTGGAGGGGGACAGAGGTCTATAATATTATAAACGTCCGGCCCCACGTATCGGATGTTTCGGGTGCTGACAGGGTTGTTGAAGAATTAATTGTCTTCAGCCCCTTAAACGTCCGTTGTGGAGGGGGACGGACGTCTATAATATTATAAACGTCTGCCCCCCTCCACAACGGACGTTTAAGGGGTTGAAGACAATTAATTCTTCAACCACCCTGTCAGCACCCGAAACGTCCGATATGGGGGCACGGACGTCTATAATAATATAAACGTCCGGCCCCCTCCACAACGGACGTTTAAGGGACTGAAGAAAATTAATTCTTCAACCACCCTGTCAGCACCCGAAACATCCGATATGGGGGCACAGACGTCTATAATATTACAGTCGTCCGTCCCCCTCCACAACGGACGTTTTGGGTGTTGACAGGTATTTGAAGAATTAATTGTCTCTCAGCCACTTAAACGTCCGTGTGGAAGGGGACGGACGTCTATAATATTATAGACGTCCGTGCCCCTCCTGCACGGACGTTTGATGGGCTGACAGGTATTTGAAGAATTAATTGTCTCTCAGCCACTTAAACGTCCATGTGGAGGGGACGAACGTCTATAATATTATAGACGTCCGTGCCCCTTCTGCACGGACGTTTGATGGGCTGACAAGGGAGTTGAACGTTCATTTTTTCAGCCTCTTAAACGTCCGGGCCCCTCCCACGGATGTCTATAGTATTATAAACGTCCGTCTCTTCCCACAACGGACGTCTAGAGTTTCACTTATTTACGAATATGCCACCGGTCAATTATTTACGTTGGGGCTTTTGTGGACGGACGTCTATGAGGGGACGTTAAAAGCCAATTCTGCACTAGTGGACTAAAGATTGAGACAGATCGGTCTGGATTGAAGATTGAGACAGATCGGTTTAGGCCGTTAGTTGAGACATGCCAACCAAGGCCGAAGGTCAATCTGAGTCTGCCTCGGTCGAACTGAGTCAACCAAGACTTAAATTAAGACGAGTCAGCCTAAGCTTAAGAGTTCAGATTGATTCGACTTGAGTCGAAGAGTCGAGCCGAGTCAGCACAACTCATCTAATTAACCTAATAGCCAAGTATACTAGACTGATCTTATTAACTTTAATTTCATTAACAAAACGGATTAAATCTAGTTTTAATCCAATTTAATTTGGACTATAAAAAACCAAATCTAGTTTATCTAGTTAAAAATTTTAAACCAGGTCCATTTTAATTATATAAACTAAATTTGGATTTTATATCTATCCATTTTATTTGACCTGGATATTGAAAAATTCAATACATGTTGAGTGTTGCATATATATCCAATTTTATATTTAAAAATAATATTTGTCATGTTTAAAAAAGAGATCATGGCTTATTCGTGATCTACAGAGTTTTTATCGACATTTTGACTGTGTAAACTTTTCTAACGCGTAATCTTTTGGTTTTGTAGATTTATAGTCCCATCCCGAATAGGTCAGGATTAAGACATGTTGAATGAGCCAAATTTACATTTCTAATCATATATAAGAAGTTACTCAGTTTTGCTAACACCACTCAATTAAAATAAAGGTAACTGCTCATATGGTTGACTATCACAACCTTTTCACAGTTGACACTCTTTACTGCAATGAAGAAAAAAAGTTCCAAATGGTTGTTCATGCAAAACATATCAACAGAAAAGATTAATTCAATAAATGTCCAGTATGGAACAGTATATCATGAATCAAAATGGTTGTTCATGCAAAACACATAAGCAGAAAAGATTAATTTACACGAAGGGTTTGCTCTACCAATACCAATGTAGGTTCCACAGCTAGGATAGACCTTAGAACAACACTTCTTAGTGCAATGATACTAATCTAGGCCATGAAACTTTAGGAGGTTACTAATTCAAAATGAATGGGCAGACAAAGTCAATTTGTGAGATTTAAATTCAAATTAAATATTTTGAGGAAGAGAACTTTTCAGATGTGATAAAAGTATACTAAATTACTAACTAACTATATTCTCTACAATAGAAGCAAATAAATATTCAAAACTAAATAATAGGGGCTGCGCGAACGCAAGCCCCTCTGCCACAAATTATGATGTAGGCTCCACCACTAGGGTAGACCTTAGAACAGCACCCTTCAATGTGCAATGAAGGTTACTGGTCTAGGCTATGAGTCTTCATGATCACTCATTAACCCCATCCAGGTAAGTATGTTGTCCTAGGCCACAAGTATTTGTTTTATAGTTCATATTCTATAATATACTCTGCTGGATGTACCAATGTGGAACTTCATAATGTTTACATTAGCTATCTGTGTCACTGCAAGTTATTTTAAGAAGAAATGCATGTTTTTTTTAAATCCAAAAGAGTTCAAATTCGAACTAGTTACTCATCCAAAAACAAATCAGCAGACAGGTCAATTTGTGGGATTTAAATTCAAATTAAATATTGTGAGGAAGAGAATTATTTTATTGTGAAACTAATTCTAATGTAGAGTAAGATGTTTGGCATGACGTACAAAAACTGCATCTATCCTAAAATCTGTATCAGAAAACCAGAATTCAAAATATGTGAAGCGACTTGTTTCATTAGAGCAGTTGAATTAGTTAAAATTAAAAAATTTAAAATTGCACCTAAAAAGAAAGTAAGAATTTGATATTTTTCTTATTCTCAAATTCATACTTTGATTTCTATAATTTGGATCAATCTAATTTCGGATCAATTCAATTAAACTCAACTTACTATCTTGGCCAAACTCGAATCTTTTAAAACTGNCAGACAGGTCAATTTGTGGGATTTAAATTCAAATTAAATATTGTGAGGAAGAGAATTATTTTATTGTGAAACTAATTCTAATGTAGAGTAAGATGTTTGGCATGACGTACAAAAACTGCATCTATCCTAAAATCTGTATCAGAAAACCAGAATTCAAAATATGTGAAGCGACTTGTTTCATTAGAGCAGTTGAATTAGTTAAAATTAAAAAATTTAAAATTGCACCTAAAAAGAAAGTAAGAATTTGATATTTTTCTTATTCTCAAATTCATACTTTGATTTCTATAATTTGGATCAATCTAATTTCGGATCAATTCAATTAAACTCAACTTACTATCTTGGCCAAACTCGAATCTTTTAAAACTGACACAATTTCTGTCAATTCCGTCTAACTTGGACTTAGATTAAGTTAAATCCAACTAAACTTACTCAACATCAACATGAACAAAGTTTCTAGACTAAACATAATTTTATTGTCTTGGCTTGACTTGAATCCAAGTAAACTTCATTCGAGTTTACTTGACTTGACATGGGTATGGTCGACTATGATTGAAATTGCAATTTTTTTATAATTTGCATTATCATTATTATGTGACTATTTGTTTTATGGTCAGAGGTATTTTCATACGAGAGTATTTAGTTTAACTTGCATGAAATTGAATATTCTAGGCCAAGAGGGTTTGTTTTTCCCTTCAGCCTCTTTTTCCATCGTTTATGATGCACTTCCACCTGTCAAAGGTAAAAAATTAAAACTATTATTAATTATTTTTGGTTTATAAGGTATATATATTTGTTCTATGTGTGTTATTGTGTTAATATCTGTGAACAGGGATTCATACTATTGGATTGGGCATTTTAGAAATTTTGAGACAAGATATGGTATTTTGCAAAGCGATTGATGTGGTTAATCCTTATTCAAAGCGTTTTGACTTTGATATCGATAGGAACAGAAAATGACAGGATTGTGTCGTTTGGCCGGGTAACTATGATTGAGTTTTATGAGTTGAAGGATCCATGCCACCTGCATTTAAATTAGTTGGGAAACAATACATTTCTATTTAGGATGTTTTCTTTTGATAATAACTCCTCTTATTCTTGGGAAATGTTATTGGTAGTTTGATTTTTCGTTAAGTTTTTTCAGTATATTTTAATGCTGGACTCAATTTTTGTTGCTAAATGTTTGGTGGAGAGACATAATGCTGTAAAACGGTCGTTAAAAATATTGGTTGTGCACCATCAGAAGGATTAGAAGAAGCAAAACTGAATGTTATCTGAATTGTGGCTGGAAAAGATTTTGCAAGGACAACATGTTAGCAGCTGGGGATCTAATTAGCAGACCATAAACAGAACAGCTTCATTAATGTTGTCAAAGTTTAGACTTCTAATGATTTAGTAAATAGGTAGGAATACCGAGTTTTTGTAATTTGGTTATATATAGAAGGAAATTGTTTAATGATGAAGAAAGAATTATGTAATAAAAAGCATTTGAAATAAATCTGTATTACTAGCGGCCAATCATGTTATGCATACTCGTTCCAAACACTTTGAGTTTGATATCCACTTTGTTCGTGACCATCTACATCAGAAACATATATAGCTCATTCATCTTCCATCTCGTTTTCAAGTAGCACACATATTCTCTCCTTCTCTTTGTCTGATCGTTTCTATCAAAAACTTAAGGTAGTCACCAAATCTACCACAAGTTTTAGGGGGAATTTTACATAACTAACATAACCATCTATTCATGCACCTTGCATGGCCTCTGCATATCTTCCTTCTGTAACCTTTATATATTCGTCACTCCTTTGTAAATCAGTCTGTATCTTTTCTTTTCATATCAATAATACAAGCATATGCATTCCTTCATTCTCTCCTTTTATCTTACAAGTGGATTTGGGAATATGAATATACTGGTTACTTGATGGGTATGAATACGAGTATACTAGTTACTTGATCAGAATGAGAATGAGAAAAAGAGTAGTTATAGGACAGTGTAGGGATAAATTTTTATTTTGAACATGAGGATCTAATAATAAAACCCACACTTACCCCACCCCTTTCTAATTAGGAATCAAGAGTTTTAATTAGGAGTGTTTACATTTCAAAATATACTCACAAGTCGCATTAATGNATGTAATAAAAAGCATTTGAAATAAATCTGTATTACTAGCGGCCAATCATGTTATGCATACTCGTTCCAAACACTTTGAGTTTGATATCCACTTTGTTCGTGACCATCTACATCAGAAACATATATAGCTCATTCATCTTCCATCTCGTTTTCAAGTAGCATACATATTCTCTCCTTCTCTTTGTCTGATCGTTTCTATCAAAAACTTAAGGTAGTCACCAAATCTACCACAAGTTTTAGGGGGAATTTTACATAACTAACATAACCATCTATTCATGCACCTTGCATGGCCTCTGCATATCTTCCTTCTGTAACCTTTATATATTCGTCACTCCTTTGTAAATCAGTCTGTATCTTTTCTTTTCATATCAATAATACAAGCATATGCATTCCTTCATTCTCTCCTTTTATCTTACAAGTGGATTTGGGAATATGAATATACTGGTTACTTGATGGGTATGAATACGAGTATACTAGTTACTTGATCAGAATGAGAATGAGAAAAAGAGTAGTTATAGGACAGTGTAGGGATAAATTTTTATTTTGAACATGAGGATCTAATAATAAAACCCACACTTACCCCACCCCTTTCTAATTAGGAATCAAGAGTTTTAATTAGGAGTGTTTACATTTCAAAATATACTCACAAGTCGCATTAATGGTCTTGTGACAAAAACTATTCAAGTCACAATTTCATGATGCTTGGTCTCCTGTACTTTTTACCAGCTAATATAACTTTTAACTTACTTATAAGTGCTCGATCTAACATATTCAGTATAATTATGAATGGTCACACTTCAAATAATATTTTGATTATTTAACAAGAGTACGATCAAAGTATAAAATGTAATCATCTTGTATTGTATAACGATAATAATTTATAGTAGTCTTATTAAGAAATCAAATCAACATAAAAATATCAAACACAATTTTTTCTTTATTCTCAAAACCTTTACATATTATTGAAGTGTCATCTTATTTTAAAAGAGGAGAGTCTTTTGAACCATAATTACTATGTATCCACTTAAAAGTGCATCTAATAGTGTTAATTTGATCTTATGGAGACTTTAAAAGGGTCAAAAAATATAACAACTTAGCAAAGAGTAATAACCAAGTGGAAAATCAACCCACCCTTCTTGCAAGAATCTATGAGGAGCACCAAACAAATAGAAAAAAAACATAATTCAAAGCACAAAGAGATACCAACAATTTTTAACGAGAAAAATCCCTCAATGCAAGGGTAGAAACCACGAGTCGTCAAAACCAATGAAAAATTCACTTTGATCAATAATAGGATACAAAAGAGTTTCCAATAACAACACCAAATGGTGTTTTCAATCAACCAATTTAATTAAGCACAAATGCTTACCAATGGGAACAAAGAAGATGAAAATTTTTCAAAACCAGGTTGTTGATGCAAGACTAATTTCTCCCAAACTATACCTCCGATTGACGATCCGAGTTGTCAGAATGAAGAACCGTACGTCTGGAACCCACTGTCCAAATATCAGCCCGATCCAACGGTACATGACTTCACAACAACGAAAACACCAGTGCAGGTTTAGGGTTATGCGGGAAAGATTTCTCTCTTCCTTTTTGTCTCACTTGGTTTTTTCCTCTCTTCAAATGACTTTAATGTGTCCTACTAATTTTGCCCATCTCCACTAAACCTAGTGAGACATAACGGTTCATATTATTTGGGCCTATTCTCCACATAGGAAGGGAGTCCAATAACCCAACAAATCCTCCAAACCAGTGATCTCACAACAAACTTCAAACTTTTCTCTTAGCAATGCTTGGTCATCATATCAGCACCATTATCATATGTATGAACTTTAGTTAAATCCAACAACTTAGCATTCAAAACATCACGTATCCAATGATACCACACATCAATATGTTTGGATTTAGAATGAAAAATTAGATTCTTACTGTTAACACTTCGGCAAGTGTACCGAATCATATCAAGTAATAATAATTGGTAAAACCAAGTATCGTTTCCCTAGAGACTCATGACCTAAACATTCATATGGTTTCTTGATTAATTAGGACTTGTAAACGAAATCATTGTGTTTGTATTGCGGAAAATAAATATGCATGCAAGTTTTGATCAATTGGATTGAAAGATGCAAAGGTGACTGATATAAAATAATGAATGATTACGTTGTTGGGGTTTCCGACTTATCCTATCCACTCTCATGTATTTATGAATTCATCTTCTTCATTTAAATGTTAATGTCACTTTCTAATTTACCTTAAACCCGATTTCTCGGTGAAGAAAGCCTACTCCTAATTACTAGTTCACA